GTAATTACTTACTGTTAGACTGTAAATTATAAATTAAAAGAAAAGTTAAAATTCAGCAGAAAGATACAGTAATTATAAAGATTATGCAACTTGTTATTAATGACTAATACTTATTTTGATCACATGTAAAGGGTAAGGATCACGCGACCCTTCCCGTAGAGTCACGCGACCTGTAGCCACAAAATGTGTGGGTCGGAAAAACGCCGGTGGTATTATGTAATACAGAATTGTTCGATAACCGATAATTCAGTTAATCAAAACCCATTCAAATAAAAGAATTATCGCAATTGCGAATCGATCATATGTCGGTAGAACCTTCACGGGAAAATTTTGGCGCTCCTTTTCCCTCAGCTCTGCGAGTACATACAGAGCTCTCGGGGGCCACAGCCGAGGGAAAGCTTGAGGATCGGCCGAGAGCCGAACAATAATACAAGCAATTTCCCCAACACGTGGGGACCTGCTGTCTAAGCTTAAACCGTGAAAAATCCATTGTTTATTCACAGGCATTATGTAGCCTAAATCGACTATAAGCGTTTCGTATACGATCTGCATCTTCTCCAATTTGGGGACCAAACTTTTACAATTGTATCCTGCCGCATATGGGCCCTGAATGATACGACTTTGTAGCAGAATTACTATTTTGAAGCAGATTATTTTACCCTTATAGTCAAGTTCTTGCATTTCCCCACCGAGCATGAATTCCTTGCTCATAGTAAGTCTATTATAGCGGCACGGTTCAGGTGGAGAGCGGCAAGGATGACGTCGCACTTCTCGAACCCCGCCGTTGCATCAATTTCATTGCTGTTCTATCCACATCCTAGTATCCTTTGGTAGTCCTATGCATTCTAGGAATTGACGATTCATCTTTTTCACACATCGACAGCAATTTCCTATACAGGGTCGTTAGCCACATTGATTGGATCAATATGGCAGCTTCGCAATCAGGACTTGAGTTGCCATCCTCTGCAGAGACCGTCTCGGTTTCTCTCATTGACACGTGTGGTCTCTAAATACCCTTTATCATCCTTCTACATCACTAAGCAGGTACATAGTGGTGCAAGTCTTGATCTTCCCGCAGAGAAGTTCATGAACCCCAAGATTCCAGGCTATGACCGACTGGCGGTGCCATCATATTCTTTTCTGATCACTCACCCCTCCGGCCAGAGACTATTGTTCGACCTCTCTCTCCGAGAAGACTTTGAGAACCTCGCTCCGCCTTTTGGAGACATTTGCACGAACCCAGAAAGTGGATGGAAAGTCTACTCTCCCCGCAGCGTCTCTGACCTTCTCGTCGAAAATGGCATCCTGTTGGAGGAAATAAATGCTATAATTTGGTCTCATCACCATTTTGACCATACTGGTAACCCTTCATTATTCCCCGGCACTACAGACTTGGTCGTGGGGCCGACCTTCATCAGCAGATTTGCACCAGGGTACCCGGAAAAGCCAGATGCGCCAGTCAGATCATCCGACTGGAGAGGACGGTCACTGCGAGAGATGGACTTTGACCAACACCCGGGGAAGGTAACGATTGGGAGATTCAAAGCAATCGACTGGTTTGGCGATGGGAGCTTTTATCTGCTGCATACACCAGGACACAGTCCAGAACATATGTGCGGCCTCGCGAGAGTACAACCAGATTCGTTTATCCTGATGGGAGCGGTAGGTCTTCCTTCTCTACTTTCTATCAATGCTCTTCTGTATAGTGAAACAGCTAAACTCACTGAACACATCGCCAGGACTGTGCACACCATCCCGGTGAATTTCGACCCACCAAGCAGAGTCCTATCCCGGAGATCATTCAACCCTCCCCCTTGCCGTCCCATCCGCAGTACGGGACAGTCTGTCCTGGTCATATATTTGCCCAGCTAGGGTACAAGCCAGGAAGCACCGATACGCCTTTCTTTATATCTGCTCCAGACTATACTCATGACGTTGATGAGTGCTGTCGGTCAGTAAATGGAATAGCGGAATTCGACGCTAGCGATCAGGTTCTGGTCCTTATTGCACATGACCACACCATGTTGTCCATCTTCACGGACGAGGAGGATGGTAGTATTGGCTGGTTTTTTCCGAAAATGACGTTAAATGATTGGAAGGACGCTGATCTAAAGAGAAAAGGGAAGTGGCTGTTCTTAAAAGATTTCGAGGTCCCTTCTACTGAGAGTTGATATTGATTCACGGCGATCTTTCAAATCGTTATGAAGTAGATTTTGGTCATACTTACTGCTGTTTTGTTAGTATCCAACGACACAGTACTAATATTCCCAACAATAAATCATTCGTCCAATATAGAAAATCAGCGTAATCGTGCCCTCCTGCAGGGTGCAACGGCCGCTTTAATGACACTCAATTTCTTCGAAAGTAGTGCATGCAGGCCTATGAACATTCGCCCCCGACAGCATTGAATATACCATGCACACTACGAGAGTCATGATCCCCATATCGATTAACTGAGTGGTACATACATCTACCAAGTAGACACAGCCTGCGCCATTTCCGCTGTTCTACCAAGACCGAAGACTCACAGGTCTCCGCAATATTCCATGAGGATGCGCGACGCTAAGATGCCTCTGGTCTCGGAAACGTACAAACAACGCCTATGGTTGGAGTATTGGAGAAATTAGAGTTGGAACTTGGAAGACGCTGGAATGTCTGACAAATACAATCCCCAAACTGGAGTAACTTGGCGTCAAAGTTTTCCGAGATCTCGGACAGACACTCCAAATCTCCGAGGACGGTCCACCATGCTTACGAGAAAACTCGGCAAACCGCTTCCGAGTCCGAGGCAGGCACAAAATATTTGCCAAATCTGGAATTTGGAGCAATACTACTGACGTCACAGCCGGTGAAATCATATCGGTAGAGTATAAGTTCACCGATCAATTCAACTTCATTCAAATCCCTGCCCTACCTACCATTCATACATACATAGCTTTTGACATTGCATCTCATTATTTAAGATAACTATTAGCCATGTCGAACCCGAATTTCTCCTGCGCCCTCGTCACCGGCGGCGGAGGCGGCCTCGGCAAAGCAATCGCCTCCTATCTCCTCGAACAGGGCAAGAAAGTCATAATAGCCGGCCGAACAGAGAGCACACTACGCGAAACAGCGAAGGAGATTGGAGCGACAGATTACTTCGTCCTGGATACGGGAGTCACCTCTCAAATACCGACATTCATCGAATCCCTGATCAGAAAGCACCCCGATCTCGACTGTCTAATCAACAACGCGGGCGTTCAGCGGCCTCTGCAAGTCCTAAAAGATGATCCAACAGAATTCCTCACCAAGGCCGACCAGGAAATCGACATCAACATCCGAGGACCCATGCACTTGACTCTGGGGCTGTTGGAGCACTTCAAGAATAAAGAAAGCGCTATGATCATGAACGTCTCTTCCATTCTGGCATTTGTTCCATTCTCGGTGATTAATCCTGTGTATAATGGCACGAAAGCGTGGTTGCATTTCTGGTCGATGAATTTGCGGTCGCAGTTGGCGAGCGGCGGGTTTGATAAGATTAAGGTGGTTGAGGTTGCGCCGCCGTCGGTGGGGACGGATTTGCATCGCGACCGGGAGGATCCCGATGATAATAAGAAGCATAAGAATCCTAATGCGCTCACGGTGGAGGAGTTCATGGATTTCTTCAAGGAAGGGTTGGAGCGTGGGGATGCGGTTATTGCTCCTGGTATGAGTCGCGAGTTTGTGGATAAGTGGGAACGGGAGTTTGGGTCCGCTTATGTTAAGCTTACGGGGGGTAAGCAGGTCGATGTGTAGCCAGTTTTGGTTGTTATATCCTTATGTTTGGTTGCTTGTAAATGGCCATTAACTGTACGATTGAGACGGCTTTGCAAGAGAGAACTTGAGCGTGCGCGCGAAGGTAGAGGAATTAAATTCTAACTTTTCGAGAATTTTCGGACGTAACCAAGCATTCCAGACATTTCATACGGAAGGGGAAACGATGAGAGGCCAACGGAGACTCCACTCGAGCTGACTTTCTTGACATCTTTCTAGGAAAGAGGAATGGAATTGATTCGAATGCCGGGCCTTTGTCGTATGGTAGTAGTCGTTTATAACTGCCTGATTTGGGCAGTTTAGTGTGAAGAGGCATAACCATCTGCTGCTTCTTGAGGACAAGTTGGACGGTTTTTCATGAACCCAGCGTTGGGTATCGACTCTTTGGGCTCATTTACTTTAGACAAATTACAGGATGTGTGACATGCGAGTAGGCAATTCCGTACGCAGCTCCTTGGGTAGGCAATAATAGAGGTGCATTGTGCTGCTGGATACCCACAAGGTCAAACACTGGAAGTATCAATCTTACTCTAGACAACCTCTGAGACCATAACAGCTACGCTGGTATATAATTTGACCAAGTCTAACACGTCCTAGATTAATGATCAGGGGAAAACTAGAAAAACATACTTCATCCAAAATTGTTCTGAACACGATATAAGCAAGAACCATCTTACATTCATCAAAGTGGCGCTCGTACCGCATTTGAAACTACGACATGCAAAAGAGAGATTCGTCTATAGAATAACAGCGCTGCTAGGCTGCTGTGAGGTCTCTGCAATGAGAGCAAATGGCGCCACATACTTAGTACTGATCTGGCGCCGAGCTGTGATGATAATTGATCTAGAGAGTCCACGTCGACATGTCATCGTAGTCACCATCTTCCCCTACCCTCGCTAAGTTCCAACTGATATATTTTTTATCGCTCCAAATTTCGTCCCTTTTTCTTGACGGGTGATGCATCTCCCAGTCAATTATGTAACTTGCAGAATCACGGAGTCAGTCGAATTACATGTATATTGTTCGGCCGCTTCGAGAACCCTCCGAATACACAGTTGCAGAGAGACTTACCACTTTTGCCTTTCCGCGTCCCAGCGAAGATTCTGAGATCCACTGTCACGGTTCACTATTCCGCATGCAGTACATTCCCTGTGGAAAAGAAAGCTATAAGACTAGGCCTTACTTCGAGAATGCCAAGCAGTAACTCACAGAAATGATGTCTTGAAAGCGGCTCTCAGTTCATCTCGTTCTTTCCGGTCCAGTGTGTCAAAGTTTAGGGAGACATCAACACCCGGTACCTTCTCCATCACAATAAAATGAATGTATCCACCCGGAACCCATTCATCCTGAGTTTGCTGCCTCTTCATCCAGTCGATCAGATGTGGGGTACTAGAGCAACCTGCTTTCGTTAAGAGGGTCAGTGCTTCGACTTCCCTCGTGCCCCTTGTGGAGGTCTCCGAGACAGCCTGCTGCGCCCGACTGAGTGGCCTTTTGGTGGCGCTTCCCCACCACGGTATCCTATATCAACTGACTTCAATTTTATTCTTACTTAATAAACGAGACGAAAGCAAGTACATACTGCATATGAACCTTGAGTACTGCTGTCGTTGGAGCCGCCCCAGGCCCTCTGGAAGCAACAAAAACCGCACGAGCCTCGGAGATAGCTACATCGTCTTCATGATCACTTTGGGAGTATATGTCCTCGCTCTCCTTGATCTTCTTTGTGAGTCTCCAGGTGGAGCCGGCCGGGAAAGAGAGTTCTAAGCCTAACCAATCATCGTCATCAAACCAAATGATGTTGGAGGGAATTATCATGATGGGTCAAATCTAAGATTTCGGGGGAGGTTATTCAGTGCCCTTGCAGGTTGTCGTGGGGTGAAATTGAAGTGTGTAAGAGGGAGAGCGGGGGGAGGCGCTTACATACACCACTGAACGAGCAAGTTCACGTGGTCAAAATGTACAGGAAGCGGCTCTAGCAAATATAATCTTTTCAATGGCATAGCCACGTCATCATCTACGCAGTCAGCTACTCTTGGAAGAGCATCTCCCTTCCTCAATCCAGCCACTTCGGTACCATCTCCAATCGGTTGGTCAGTGTTCTTGTGAGCTTCTGGAAAGAAACCTCGCTGGTCGTGAGAAAGCGGTGCGCGTATATGCTAAAGAGCATCTCACTAAATTTCATCGGTTACATTAGGCATTTTCAGTTCAGATGATTGATCTAGTGCTCTATTCTATCAGACAAACAGAGGCGTGGCAGAACTGTAAACGGTCTGATAGAATACGTCGGTATGGTAGGGATAGCGTAGCCAATATTACCATGGGCGAGCTAAGGCATACCACGTATTTTGATGCACTGAAAGACGACTACAAAGTGGCTTCGAAATAAGACAATAAGGAAGTGATTTAGCAAAAGGAATCTGAAAGGGCACAAAAAAGGGACAGAGAAAGAAACAGCTGTAGACTGTGTGGTTAGACAATGCAATCATTCCTCAGGAGAATTTCATAATATCCATGTCGACATATCATCGAAGTCGGCGAAATTGGGTGCTTGTGCCAGATTCCACGCTAGATAGTTCCTATCCCGCCAGGTCACAGATTTGCTACTGGGCGTATCAAAATGCTCGAAATCGATCAAATAACTGAATAAAGCAAAGACTTCAGTGCCTGATCCACAAGTTCCAAGGAAGTACGGCAACTCCAAAATCATGTGAGCGGGAAGTCGGTTACTAACCATTTATGCTGTTCCCTATCCCAGAGTAGGTTCTGTAAGCCAGTGTCGTCATGTTCCACGCCACACGACATGCATTCACTGCAAATTGACCAGAGTTAGATCATCTGCTTTCAAGGAATGGTTAGTGTATTGAAACCCTACATCCAGGCCTTCTTGAATGCGCTGCGCAAATTATCACGCTCCCGGCGTTCCATACTGTTAAAGATCGAAGAAACGTTTACCCCTGGCAGTAGCTCCATTGCAATGAAATGGATATAACCACCAGGGACCCATTCACTATCATTCTGCCTTCGGTACGTCCAATCAATCAGATACGGTGCGCTAGAACACCTGGCTTTCGTCAGAATAGAAAGAGCCTCAACCTCGCTGCTACCTCTGTAGGGGATCTCAGGATCTGCCTGTTTAGCCCGAACAGATGGCTTCTTGGTGACTGTTTCCCAGCACGGAATCCTGCATCCCAGATTTGGAATAAAGCCATTTATATATTGCGTGTCGGACGGACATACTGCATGTGGATCTTGATAGCTGCAGTAGATGGGCCATTCCCGGCAACTTTGTAGGTTACAAATGTAGCTCGTGCCTGTGACGTAAACTTATAAAGCTCACTTGTTTTTTGAGTGTACAAGTCTTCGCTTTCTTTGATCTTTCTTTCTAACTGCCAAGTAGAACCGGCCGGAAAAGCAAGCTTCAGGCCGATGTAGTCGTCATTGTCAAACCAAGTGAGGTTTGAGGGAATCTTCATGACTGTCGAAAGTTTTGTGACACACGAGGTGGATAGAGAAGCGTGAAGAAAACGAATCAAGCAGCTGTTTTGCGGTCGTGGAAATGGCAGGTGAAAAGGTTGGCGACTCACGAGGGAAAAGGAAGTAGGGGGCGGTGGTAAAGAGTAGATAGCGGCAAGGACGCAATGTTTAGCGGTTAATAACCCCGGTCAGATGATCGCGAGCGCGGCGGGCGCCCATTGAGATTTATCAGTGCGGTATGTCTGCAGTTTTGGTCTCGTGTATGAACTCAAATCAGTAAGTTATTGACAGGCTTGTTTCGTTCATTGAAGCTTCGTCCCGTGTAATAGTTTTTTACCTGATATTTTATGAAATCACGCTTGTGGGATCAAACAGCCCTACTTAGAACTCCTACTTCAGCAATGCCACATGAATATAACTTGTGCTGTGCATAATCCCATATTCCTAAAACCTTTTCCTACTCCCGTCTGTGATACTATAGACAGGGGAATCCTAAATATCGATCTTGAATTGAAGTAATGGCGTATATGCCATGTTCGAATGCATCTTGGTCTCCTGTGGAAGGCCAGTGGCACTCCTGTCAAGGCAAGAGAAACGCTCCAGTGGGGGATGCCAGGAGATGTGCCAATAACTCTACTCTTAAGACCATGGGTTATTATCATAAAGAGTCAAGCAGATATATATCCGTGATCACCTGATTTTCTCTCACCCATCCTTGACCAATTTCTAGCGAATATACTTAAAAGTCAGTAGAGTGCTTAGTTTTTGGGCCTGCTTCATAATGTTAAAAAAGTGCACACTAATCATACACCCAGCATGTTAGCTCAGGGGAAGAGCGCCGGGCTCATAACCCGGAGGTCCCTGGATCGAAACCAGGACATGCTATCTGATTTCTTTTTCTCTTTTTCTTTCTCTAGCTCTTTACCTTTCGGCAAGATCTATTCATATCTTAATTGCAATTTTTAGGAAACTTTTATTTTTCTTCTTCTTTACCTACAATGTTGGAAGTCCATATTACCGCGCTGTTTTGTCGGTCGCAAGTAAACTTCTACCCACAGAGTACACCGTCTCTAGTTTGAATGGGATGAACATAACACCTCATCAGCTGAGTGACGACACATCGATCCCAAGCCTATGGCGCTCTACGGTACTAGAATGAGCTAAACCCTTGGGAAATTTTTGAAGGAACAATGGCGTCTCGAATACCACAAATGGGTTCCCTTACAGGCCATTAAATGGGGGAATTTCAGTTAATCTTCAGTCTACCATCAAATTACTACTCTGATGTACCTAGTTGGGTGTATTAGCGGTATCGGTGCTATATGAGTTGTCTAGGCATGGATATATGGGTGGTTGCTGGTAATTTATCTGGTTGGATATTCCGACTGCAACAACGGGATCGATCCGGTTGGTTTAAGAGTAGTATATCAGCGTCCCGTTGTCGCGTAGTATATTGGACGACATGTTGTGATTATCCATTACTGCATGGAGAAAACTATCCGATGTTCCATTTTGTGAACAATTGGGGGTGGAAAATAAAGTCGATCCATTTCATTGAGTAGACTGTGCTTCAGGCTAGAGACGGCATATGACATTGCAGATTATTCCTAACACTATTATGACCTGCATCCTAGAGCCTCCACAATCCTCACAAGACAAAACCATTCTCTGCCATAGTCCAGTATTTATTGTCGAGCAGATTTTTGATATCTGAGTACGCACAAGCCCACAGGAGCATGATTGTCGCTGATCGATTCAGTAAATGAAGCCCGCCCCATCAACCCATCTGTCACGTCTCAGCTCAGACAGTGATACACTTGACGCGAATGTCCATGTTCAGTCCTTCAAACTTCGACTCTTCCGACATGGTATGAAGAATGGTGGAAAAGGTAGTGGATCTCTGTTCTGCGGTGGTCTCCTCAGTGGCACTCAACTGTCACATCCATACTGTCAGACTTGGAATATTCTCATGGGTAGCGGGTGTGTGACTAACGAGGAATTCCAGGGAATAGCGGCCTTCTCCGGAATTATCTTTGAGCTTGAGCTCAACGGCGAGAGCCTTGGGAAGCTTATGGTATCTTTCTTCCATCTTAGCGAGGACACCCATGTAGAATTCTTTCAGAGTGTCGATGGAGATGGGGACAGTGCCAAACTCTGTCTTTATGTAAGTATGATCGTTCGTTTGGTGGAGGTTATAATACATACGGCCAGTCTCTTCGTGGTGTTCTTCGCTACTAGTCATTTTGGAGTAGAGATGGGTATTATTGGCGATAGGATTGTTGTGGGTTTGATGTATGAGGGGAAAGTGTAAAGAGGTGATGGAGTTGTGATGGATGGTGTTGACGAGGAGTTTTGGGATGAGGGGGGAGTAAACAAGGATTACTAGTTGGGCTAGTGGCCAAGAGGTGAAAGTGAATGCAGCAAAGTTCCAGGCTCGAAAATCAAGGCCTATTGAACTTTTCTTGTCGGCTCACTCCGTTTGTGTGACTGATCCTTGCTGTATTGGAAACATGATACCTTGCGACGTGTTGCCTTCTTAGTCATTACTGGTTTACTGGTTATAAACGGCCTCTGACCAGGTAGAAGTCAGCTACATGAGGCTATCTAGCCATACTCATGCTTTTTCGGGGAGGGATATGATTCACTGATTTACAATGAGATACGGTGGGCTTGAAGCCGAGATAATGCTTATGCTAGGCTTTATGGATTTCAGGTCTACCGGTTGTGTGCGGGTGAAGGTCCTTGCCAATAGTAGCCTTTAATCTCTAATCAGATATTGGCTATTTTCTAAGCTTGGGATTTTCATGAGAAAAGGCAGCATTTTTGTGGAACTCACCACGGCATGCTAAAAGTAGGGAGATGCATGGAAGACCATCCATATTAGCTCGCGACACGAAGGCCAGCCAACCCTAGTAGGTTGCAAGGCTTGGCGAGGCCCAGCAAAAAAAGAAAAGAAAAGAAAAGAAAAGAAAAAGAAAAGAAAAAGAAAAGAAAAAGAAAAGAAAAAGAAAAGAAAAAGAAAAGAAAAAGAAAAGAAAAAGAAAAGAAAAAGAAAAGAAGAAAGAAAAGGAGAAAGAAAAAAGAAAAAAAAAGTAGTGACCATTTTATAGCGAGGATGGCAGGACTACTCCAGTCAGTACTACTATTGATCGTGAGTTTGGTGGACTGGCATATACTACTTCGGCTGCCCATTATATATTCGGACCGACCGATTAGCACCGTCATGACGACATTATTTACTAACCTCAATCTCGACCCAACATAATCTTCATTACAACATACCTAGTAGTCAAAAGTCAAACATGGAGCTGTGAGGGACATAGAGTTATATTCTTTTGAATAGCGAGTATACCACTGCCACACATTAATGTGTATAGTGAGGATTTCCGAACTCTTTATTTTCTTCTGACTGGTCATATACTGTCTTGGAATATAATGCAAAAGCTTTGCTTCATTAGCATCAAAAGCGGCCGGGTGGCGCAATGGTAGCGCGCTGCCTTCCGGTAGTGGATGTGGCAGTGGTTGCGTGTTCGAGTCACGTCTCGGTCGTTCTTTTTTTCTTTTTCTTTTTCTTTCTATTTCTTTTTTATAGCAACCCATAAACACGACTTCGGCATTTACAAGATAGTGCTTTCCACGTGGTTTTGTTCTTAAAATTTTCTCTCTTTTTTTGTGGTAACCTATTGACTAATCCGAGTCAAGATCGTTCTGTGCTTTAATGCTTTATTATAGTCAGCCAGGCTGACCCGTATGCCTCGCCATATAATATGTGCACGCGTGACGCAGAAATTCGATGTGCGAATGGAGGTCGGCAGTGTTTCCCAGGGATGTGACAAATGTATAGTCGAATCAACCATACCGAACAAGTCTTCTCAAAGCAACGGTGCAAGCCATTTAAAGACGCCCGATAGTCCTTAATGCTGCCACCGGTCGGTGGCAGGACAATTGGGTGTCAGGTCTCAGTAGGAACTCAGCGAGAGAGATTGTGCCAGCTGTTAGGAATCGCTGTTGACGTTGTCGAAGTCACCGCTGATAGTACAGATGGTCTCATCTTTTGCTTTTTTTTTACTTACCTCGCCTGCCAATCTTGCCCTCAATCATCGTGTCTCTTCAATCATATTCCCTGTTTACGAGTGCCTTCACTTCGTTGTCATAATACCGAAGTAACTTGTCCTTGTGACTGCCTTCCCCCTTTTATAGCGTTTTCAGTGCAGCCCTATTTTTCTAAGTACATATCTGCTTGTTCTTTCGCCCCTTATCTCTTTTTCCTTTCGATTACTCCCGCACGCCCACCTCCCCCCCAAAGACTATCATGAAACTAGCTGATGATATCTGTTTCCTTTGGCCTTGAGGCCTCTGGGGGTCGCCGCGTGTTTATCAAAATCTTCCACTGGGCTTCTGCCTTGTTCCTGCCAATCCCTTGCGTTGGGCTTTATCTTGATGTACTCACAAGACACAGCATGGGAGACACCTGGTGCAAAGCAAGGAGCTAAGTTGATGCCAGTGGGTTGACGTGGGGCTGTCCCTTCAATCATATACTCTGAATAACCCGGCTAGACAAGTAGGGCCACCTGGCCTATCGTCGCGTGGGAAGGCAGAGCACGAGGAGCTCATCGCTCGCTTATACATTTATAAGGGAGGGACTTTGCGGCTTATATTGCCTACACAGACTAATGCCAATTGAGATGATGAAGTACTTGGGCTGAAGATTACCCGGGGTACCAGTGATGGTCATAAGTAAACTCTTCCGGATTCCGACAGCATTGGGCGTCATGAAGATGACGAAATAGAAAGTTTGAGAAACAATAATATGGCATAATAAATGCATTCAAAGGAAGGGTGGAGGTCGCGTCCAGGAGATGGCTGGTGCTACCACTGGTTCTGCGGATTAGACCATTCCGGGATCTGGAGACACTGGGCGCTTGGAAGACGATATTATTGGAGATCACGAGAATATCAAAGGACAGGATATAAGGCTCTAGAAGCTCTAAACAAGCACATACGACCATAGGGTGTGGAAAACAGGGCTTCCCGTCCGCTCAGCCGTACTTAAGCCACACGCCGGGAGGTTAGTAGTTGGGTGGGTGACCACCAGCGAATCCCTTCTGTTGTATGTCTTTTTTGCGTTCTCTTCTATTTGTCTCTACCTCTCTGATTACCTCGTCGCTGGTAGAAGAATAGAATCGGGAAAAGCCAGTAAGTAGTTGGTTGATGGGTCGAAGCGAGCGTATGGTTGTTGGCCGAGTCGTGTAGATCCTTAGATGAGCAACTAACCCAAAGACAAATGTCAGCGTCATGAATGACTTCCTGAATACCCACGAGAGAGACTCATAAGTATGCTATGCATATGAGAGTACATGAAGAGCAGATTCAGTCATCCCCACTCTGACCCAAAAACTCAGGAAGTCGCGCAAAGACATCCTCCCACTTCTCCTTTCCGCTAATAAGAGACTCAATAGCACTGAAAACTTCCTCTTTAGAGGCGCGGACTTGCTTGGTACTGTCACGCTCACGCAGCGTGATCGTTCCATCCTTCACAGAATCGAAGTCGATCGTTACACCCAGCGGAATACCCAATTCATCGTTGCGGGCATACCTCTTTCCAATGCTTGCAGAAGACTCATCAGCGCGGCAAGATATGCCCAGTTCACGGAGATCCTCAGTGATTTTCTTTGTTAGGGGAACAAAGTTTTGGTGAGTGGAGAGAGGGACAATGAGAACTTTCGTGGGCGCCACCGAGACGGGAAGGGACAGAACCTGATACCACACATTAGTTCATATAGATGAAACTGGACAGGGGAAATAGTCCAGCAGAAGTTAGAACCAGGAGTGACATACACCACGCGCAGGATCGTTAGCACGATGCCAGTAAACATGCTCCAGCAGACTGTAGAAAATCCGCCCGATGCCGAATGAGGGCTCGATAACGTTAGGAATGTATTCGCGGATGTTTTCAATCCTAATCCGCTTGACGATACTGATCAAGTCTTTGGTAACATCAATTTGTTCTGCCATCTCGGGGACCGTGACAGAAACGACACCCTTTTCTTCTAAAGTCGTAGCTAGAGATTCCCGCTCAGACTGGGCGAGCGAGATGAGCGCCGCTTCAACAGCCTTAGCGTTCTTCTTGAAGAGTGGTCCCAGCTTGGGCTTGTTGATGTCGATTTGCCATTCTTCAACTTTCAGTGGCTCACGCCGGGATTCACGGACGACAAGTGGCTCTTCAGTTTTCTTAGAATGAACTGTCAGATCGTAGGCGCTGCGATCCGCACATCCGACACATTCAATCCAACCATAGGTGGTCTGGAGCTCGGCGTCCCAGCAGTCAGTAGCATAATGGGCCATCTCGTTTGCCATGTGTTGGCGGAATCGGACTTTATTCGCATCGACGCCGATCTTGAGCAGGAAGAGATAGATGCGGCCTAGGAAGTATCCCAATGTTTCATTGTCTACCATTCTACTGGACACTGCCTCTCCGATCGTGGATTTTTGGAGACTGGTCTTACCGCCCAGCTGGGTTGCGCGATCAAGGAAGCTGAGCTGTAGATCTTTGACCAAGTCGAATTTAGGATGCTTCTTGCCGCCTTCTGGATCGACAAAATGCTCTATCTCAGCCATCAAAAATTCTCTGACGCGGAGGAGGCCAGAACGAGGGGAAATCTCATTGCGGAACGATTTTCCGATTGAGGCAGACGCAAATGGCATCGAGTTCTGGTTGTAGTCCAGGAGTTTCTTAAAGTTTAGGAACTGGCCTTGGGCTGTCTCTGGTCGGAGGTATCCCGGGGAAGCACTGCTGGGACCCACTGTTGTCTTAAACATCAAGTTGAAGGGAACCGGTGGCGAAACCGGTGTGTCCCCATCCGGGTTTCGAATGTCATACTTCTCAATCAATTGGCCGAGCTCAGGTCCATCGTAATTATCAATCTAGGAAGTCCACGATAAGCATTAAATGTGAGTGGCAAGGGCTTCTCCATGCATATATACCTTGGCAAGCACTTCCTCGTATTCTGCCACAACAGAGTCTTCCAGTTTCATCGCCTTGATGTCGCTCACTTTGGGACCCTTCTTTTTCTTTTTGCCTGAGCTATCGGCGTTATAACCCTCACCAGCAATTCCTCTAGCTGCTTTATCTCCTTTTAGTCTTGCCCCAAGGACAGCCTCGATGAGGTGGTCGGCACGTAAGGAGTCTCCCTTTTTCGTATCTTTGCACATCCAATCCTCGAACTTATCCACGTGGCCACTGGTTTTGAAGACTTCTTCTGGTGTTAAAATTGTACAATCAAGTTCTAGCATATCCTCCTGAAGAACGAAGTGTTTCCGCCATAAGTCCACAATGTTCGACTGGAGCGCACATCCGGGAGGTCCATAATCGTAGAGACCCCTGCTATCGCCTTTAAGATTTCCGGAGGTTCGATAGATTTCAAATGATCCTGTATAGAAAAGTCGGCGCTTTAATAGCGACTCAAAGAGTGTACGGTCAAAGGGACCGCCATTACGGGTTGTGAGCTCAGCCATGGCGAGTACTTGGGACGGGGTGATGGGTGGATGAAGGAGGAAACCCCTCCAAGTTGATGTGACTCGACGCAATAAAAGGCCCGCCACCAGGCAGGGATTCAGGTGACATGAGTTGTCATTGGGCCAAACCCCGAAAGCTAAGGCCTTCACGCATGGCGGTCCGAGTGTCGTGCGGCTGCGATTGCGGCTGCGGCTGTTTAGTATGACTCAGTACCTGATCATTAGGAATGATATCTGTATGGATTGAAATAAATATACTCGTTTGCATAATGATTGTATAGCGATAATAGTAGGACCGCACCACCCGGAATTCAATAGCATACCAACCAAACATCGGATAGAGAGAAGATATAGTTCTTGATCCAAAGAAAGCATTAATGTATCTAAACTGCCTCGATGAGGAGTCTGATCTTTAACTAAAGTATAAATGATAAAGATACCTTTCTAGTGGAATTTATTGTCCATCTTGAAGAGCCCGCATTTTCCCACCAGTTCAACGGGATCTTCTACGGCAACATTGCACCATACAAGATATCCAAATCAACTTTGATGGAACCAGAAAGACGGTGCCAGTTGGCAGAGATTCAGGTGATGCCATGTAATGGTCATATTGGACGTTTTTTCTTCTACGTACAGTCCCCATCATGAGAGGTGTCGTATATCGAGAGTTAAGTATAGTTTAGATCCAGGTTTATGCGACAGAGGTGTTGGGGATCTCCAAAAATCCGGTGCGACATTGATAATCATCATTAACGCCCTCGGTAATTCCGTCCGAGACCCCCTCGGATACTTGGCCGATCGCTACATTGGTCCGCTCAACTGCCTCATTCCTTGCGTGGCCCTTTGTGGCATTCTGATATTTGCCTGGGCCGCCGTGCATACCACAGTCGAGCTGTACGTCTTCGCGGTGTTCTATGGACTAGCATCGGCAGTGGAACAGTGCCCTCGTTGACGAAAGACCTTGATAAGATTGGCATGCGAGTTGGTATGGCCCTGACCATTATGAGCTTTGGCCCGTTGACTGGGTCCTCTGTGGCGGGGACATTGATAGCGCGCACCGGTGGGGAGTACCTGGCTGCGCAGATGTGGGCAGGACCCGCGTTGATCGTGGCGGTCCTCGCTCTGGTCGGAGCACGACTGATCATTTCGGGACCACGTGTTCGGGCAAAGCTTTGAGAACGTGGATGAGAGTAATAGATCACTTAGCCAAAGGATAAATTGCCGTGTTGGTTTGATATCCAGACTGTCTACTGCGCGGAAGAGCGGCGATAAAACTAGAAGACAACTATGATTCTAACCAGCGCACAAAGGGTGTATTGTAGGCGAAGACATGGACCTACGCGTCTGTCTCTATTCCAAAATACCGAGCAACGTCCAAAAGACCTGATCTTTCGATGCCGATCCAGTAATCAACAAATCCTTCTCCTTTAGCTTGGGCGACGCGTTCCGCATCCCAAGCTTCTTCCAAAGGTCGCTCGATATAAATTGTCTGGAACCCGCACTTTTTGGCGGCTTGCAGGTCGTGAAGATGGGCAGCGACAAGGCAACACTGCGAGGTCTCTAACCCGAACCTGCGCGCAGCGGCATGATAGACTTCTGGCGCTGGCTTGTAAGCATTGAAGTGCTCTGCACTGCTTATATGCTTGAAAGGCAAAGAACCGTGCTCCACTAGATCTTCGAGAAGTTTGACATTACCGTTGGACAATGTGGAAGTCGGAAACTTGGTGTTGAGCAGCGCAAGGCCTTGAACACTGTCCGCGTACGGATCGAGGCGATGCCAACAGAGAGTCAAGTGCTGGAGATCGTCGTCATTGAAAAGATCCCGCAGACGCCTGTCGGTGAAGATATTGCTTAGAGAGACGCGGTTGTGTTCGTCTACAGATACAAAGGGCTTGGATGGATCAAAGCTGCGTCCGAAGTTCATATACGAGCGGTGCCACTCGTCTGTGATTTCATTCCATGTTGAGGGCGCTAGGTCGGAGACACGGCCTCGCACATCCACAGCAATCTCGCGAGCCTGGTCTTGCAGGGCCCTTTCTGCTGCAGCCTTCAGCTGGTTCGCAATGCAGAATCTCCATTCAAAGACTGTGCCCAAGACGTCGAAAATTAGCATCGAGGGAGTGCCAGGTCGAGACATGTTGACCAGGGTTTCTTCGAGATGGCACAGGATGAAAATTACCGTCGGATGTATGTCAGAATGTGTAGAGTATCTTTCCCGTCGTTGGGGTCGAAGGGGGATTTTGGAGAAAGACAGACGACCGTCGTCAAGGTTAGGAGGAAAAGTACCCCTTCACTTGATCTCGGCACCCATTGGACTTGCATGTGGCTGGGAGGGGTCAATTGGCGTCATTCGCACATGCGGATTGACCTTTGTCTGCTGCGGGATCCCCCGATGTTACCAGCGGGTTACCGGAACAGGATCACCGCCAGCCCGTTCGATGTAGTGCATTAGCGACTCCTGTAGTTAAGTACAGTACATCAAGCTGTTCGGTCACGTACTGCCCGCGAGCCTTCGTTGGTGTCCTGCCGCTTGTTTCGCCCGTGACTCTGGGGATAAATACACTCCAATCCTATGGCCTCGCATCTCTGGCATCAGGAGGGTTTAACTTCGTATATGGCAGCGGCGAGCAGACAGATCTGACATCCTGCATAAATGAAGGTCAACGACGCCCCGCCTAATCCACCTCCTTTCAGATGATCAGAACTCATTTTATGTATCTGGGGTAGGACAAATAAATCAAAAAGAAAGCAAAAACATACAACAGAAGAAAGTTATAGGCGAGAAGGTGAATACAGTATGACTTGAAAAGGGGAATGAACTTATTTCTCTCAGAGTTCTCTTAGTTTTCTCTT